ACTGGTATACGCCACGACATTGCGTCTGCCCGGGGAATTCTTTACACCACGAAGCAGACCTAATTTCGCTAAATCAGACTATGTCCAACGACTGTCTGCATTTATGCGAACGCTTCCTCCGGTGTCAACTCGAATACAACATCGACAGCTCGCTCTCCCTCGAGAGTTATCTACCTGTTCACATGTTTTCATACGAGTAGATTCGGTACGCAAACCTTTGCAACAACCTTACGAAGGCCCTTTTCACGTGATCGCTCGTCACGAAAAGACCTTCAAGGTTGATCGACACGGCCGCGTCGAGATCGTCAGCATTGATCGTCTCAAACCAGCACACGTCGATGACAGTGCCCTATCTGATAACCTGAGATTCAATGCTAGACCTACCAAACCTACTAGCGGGATCCTCAAACCATCTTCAGGTCCCACGCTAGATACAACTGAGACCTCACTCTCACGTCCCAGTCAACAGCACGTGTCATCTGCACCGTCTACAGACGAGACGACAGTCTCACGTCCAGATCAGCAGACCATGCCGCCCTTGACTTCGGATGAGATTGCAGGCTCACGCGACGCGAACGAGACTATCGTCTCACGTTCCGGTCGCCGAGTACGGTTACCCGTACGCTTCCTCGACTAGTCGCACAGTCGACAACCGATACGGTGTAGGAATATTCCTATGCTACTTGCATGCTACACTCTTCTTTTTTGATTTTCTTTTTGTTTCCTGAGCCCACGTCTTCGACCATCTCCGTTTGGTTCCGTCGACTTCAGTCAACTTTGGCGAAAGCTGGCCTGATCACCCATGCTCTTGTCAACGCACTCAGTCGATATATTGGTTTCGAACGCTTGGCACACGCTTGGTCTCGAACTTGGTCGTTACGGTCGCTTCTGGTCTTTTGGCTCAACGTGGTTTCGTCCTTCGTCTGCAGCGTTTCTGGTCCGCATTCCCTACGAACGCCCTCTTCAGATTCTGGATACAAACCACTCTCGTGTAGCATGCCAACTCAAGCAACAAATACAGCACATCGCTCCTGGTACCGTTCTCCGAAAACGACTTTCGTTGGCAACTCGACGATCAACGATCGCTTTCCTGTTCCCCAATCTTTCCGTCCTACAATCGCTCGTCAGCCGATCAGTCCCACGATTCAAACCGCTATTTATCGAAAGTGTAAACCCTTTCTAGCGGGGGGCTCCTGTAGTGACTCACATTCATCACGAGAACACGACTGGTTTAATAAAAACAATTATTATTATAACCAACTGTACCAGTGTTTGTTTTAATGTGCTTTTGTTTAACTGTGCTAATTATAGCCATTTTGTGCTTCCATTATCTTCCATAATTGTTCCGCGGTTTTTGGTACTGTTCGCACGTACTCCTGTCTTCTGCTTCCACTTGTACCACTTCTTGGCACGATCTCGGTATTCGTTCAATACCACGAGATCGCCAACGAAATAAATCTGGTTACGTTCGATCCTCGCCTTCTGATTTATCTGGCACGTGTTTCTTGGTAGCGGTGTTCACAGTTAATCTCAACTCGACACCACGCTACAGATCTCTACAGAAACACTGGACAAGATCAAAGAAAGGAAGAACAAGAAGGCAGCAATTAACAACAGCCAAACACGAGCGGAGGAAGTCCAAGCACAAGCTGAATACATAGAAGCAAACAAACAAGTGAAGAGGAGCATTAGAGCCGACAAGAAGAAGTACGTGGATGAACTAGCAACGACGGCGGAAAAAGCTGCTAGTGAAGGAAATATGAAACAGCTTTACGATACAACGAAGAAACTAGTAGGGAAATACAGTAAACCAGAGAGACCGGTCAAGGAGAAAGAGGGCAGGCCAATCACTGAAATTCAACAACAGCGGAACAGATGGGTAGAATACTTCGAGAAACTCCTGAATAGGCTGGCTCCAATGAATCCACCAGACATCGAAGCAGCACACACAGATCTTCCTATAGATGTCAATCCACCAACGACGGAAGAAATCAGAATGGCCATCAGACAAATCAAGAGCGGGAAAGCAGCAGGACCCGACAACATACCACCTGAAGCACTGAAGTCAGACACCGAAGTAACTACAAACATGCTTCACCTTCTATTCAAAAAGATTTGGGAGGAGGAACAAGTGCCGATGGACTGGAAAGAAGGACATCTCACCAAGATTCCAAAGAAAGGAGATCTGAGCAAATGTGAAAACTACAGAGGCATTACACTACTGTCAGTACCAGGAAAAGTCTTTAACAGAGTTTTGCTGAACCGGATGAAAGACGCAATAGACGCCCAACTTCGAGATCAACAAGCTGGATTCCGTAAGGACTGGTCGTGCACAGACCAAATTGCGACACTACGGATCATCGTCGAACAATCAGTTGAGTGGAACTCGTCACTGTACATCAACTTCATTGATTATGAAAAGTCACTTGACAGTGTGGATAGGAGAACGTTATGGAAACTTCTTCGACACTACGGAGTTTCTGAGATGATTGTCAATATTATCTAGAACTCATATGACGGACTACAGTGCAAGGTCGTGCATGGAGGACAGCTGACAGATGCATTCCAAGTAAGGACCGGAATCAGACAAGGCTGTCTACTCTCTCCCTTCCTCTTTCTTCTGGTGGTCGACTGGATTATGAAGACCTCGACATCTGAGGGAAAAAACGGAATACAATGGACAGCTCAGAATCAATTAGACGATTTGGACCTCGCAGATGACCTGGCCATCCTATCGCATACACACGAACAGATGCGGACAAAGACAGCCAGTGTAGCAGCCGTCTCTGCATCAGTAGGCCTCAGCATACACAAAGGGAAAACCAAGGTCTTCAAATTCAAAGCGGAGAACAGCAATCCAATCACTCTTGATGGTGAAACTCTGGAAGATGTGGAATCCTTCACATACCTAGGAAGCATCATCGATGAACAAGGCATTTCAGATGCAGACGTAAAGGCGAGGATTGGCAAAGCAAGAACAGCATTCCTACAATTGTAGAACATATGGAACTCAAAACAACTTTCAACCAATATCAAAATGAGAATCTTCAACACGAACGTCAAGACAGTTCTACTGTACAGAGCTGAAACTTGGGTAACTATCACAACCATCATCAAGAAGGTACAAGTATTATAAATAGTTGTCTACGCAAGATACTCAACATCCATTGGCAGGATACCATCAGCAACAGCATTTTGTGAGAGAGAACAAACCAGCTTCTAGCTGAGGAGGAAATTAGGGAAAGACGATGGAAATGGATAGGTCATACACTACGCAAATCGTCAAACTGCATCACGAGGCAAGCCCTAACTTGGAATCCTGAAGGAAGGCGGAAAAGAGGAAGGCCAAAGAACACATTACGTCGGGAAATAAAAGCAGATATGAAAAAGGTGAATAACAACTGGAAGGAGCTGGAAAGCATTGCCCAGGACAGGGTTGGATGGCGAATGCTAGTGAGCGGCCTATGTTCCTTCACGAGGAGTAACAGGCGTAAGTAAGTAAGTATAGCACTCTTTTAAGTAAAAGATTTTATGTTTCCATCAACCGGCAGCAGTTCCTTCGTTATTTCACATAATTCGCCGTCCATTGACGACATGCTTGTTTGATATGTGTAATGTGACCTTGAGGCGATTTACTCATTCATCATTGGCTTACCCTTATAGTTTAATTTAGCCACTTCTTTCAATAACATACATCGTTTATAATCTCACAACCGACGTTTGACCTTAAGATGATATCTGAGCCTTGGCACGTGATATGTTTGTACTTGAACAGCCAATCAATTAAGTGATTTGTTTTAATAAGTACAGGTTTATATCCCCCGTTTTGAGTTGCATTGTGTGATGCTCCCCGGTTGCTGAAACAAATTTAGTGTATCAGGCTTCGAATCTACTTCCACTTTTTAAAAAACGGAGTGCATAAACCAATAAACTATTCTTGCAATATATAATAATGTATAACTAATGATTTTTAAGATTCTCTTCTATAATTAGTCAGCCATTTATTTTTGATGTATCGGATGTAAAATCAGAAGACTTTCAGGTTTGAATCAAAAGGAAACTAACAATGAACATATTAGCTAATCTCTGACAGTTGACTTCTTCTTCCTTTTCATTTATTAAGACGAACACGATCAATGCTTTTTCAAACCTCAAATAAAATTCCTCCACCTTCAATGTTAATGGATTTTTATCAGTCGGTTTTAATCATATAACGTTAAATAGCGCACGCTAAATATATATATATATATATATATATATATATATATATATATATATATATATAAACCGAGACTAGTGACCATATCACAACTTGATCGATAGAGTTTGAACATCATTGAGAACACAGTATCCTTAACTTTGAAAGTAACGATAATGCACTTAGATCCTATGGTCTTAATGATCGTTTCAGTATATCGCAAATCGACTGTAGGTGGAGCCGTTGATCACTGAATTAAAACTCACTGGTTGAATGGAATCATTTTATCAGTCAGCCTTATATGTACTAAGGTCGATTCTGTCTGAGTTCATGTGTGTGCACATCTGAGACCCGAACTGTGAAAAAACACCTATCTAGAGTTTCTGGTTTCAGTCATTCTACAGCTGATGTTCATTCTTAGATATCTAATCTCTGAAAATCACTCAAAACCGACACTGATTTGAATTTGCATCCACTTCACTAGTCCTAAAATGGGACGAAACGGATGTCATAGAATCTACTCTCAGCCACAGTGGAAATATCAGCTCAATGAAAATTAGCATCCATTTATCCATACATATGAGTATATATAAGGTTTAAGCATTTATTACAGTTTACTGAACTATGTCATTTAATATCATTATATAATACAAGGCAGATGCCGCTTACTCTTAAATACACAAATCAGTTTATATTTGGTATACTACATTTTCAGCCAAAATGAAAATCATTGGAAAGAGGGGTTACTTTCTTCAGTAAATATAATAACTATCATGAACATAATGATAACCTATTATCCTACCTGTAAAAAATTTAATTCTTTCGAAGTAATTGGCGGTTGTAACGAAGTGAATTTCTCACCCAAATCTTTCTATGGAAATAAAAATCAACGGATTAGGAAATAGAATATGACCATTAATCTGAAAATATGATAGAATACAAGTATAAATTTACTATTACATCATAATATAATGCAAATTTCCTATAGAAACTAATAAGGATTTGATTAAGTAAGAATACGGGAATGTAACTTCTAAATAACTCAGTTTATTTAACTCAAATACAGCTGGTTTGCAGTAGGTAAGAACATGCATAACAGAATACATTTCAATGTATACCTCATACATATATGTGTTAGTTCAACTATTTAACCAAGTATAATTATATCATACAAATATGTGACTAATACCAACTATCAGTTTTATTAGTTTTCATTACGCAACATTCGATTCAGGTTTTCAGTACGAAGTACAAACTAGTTAAGCACTCACTAGACATAAATGTGACTAATATAACAAATCTATTCAAATATTTACAATGTATTACACTCCTACTTTAAAGATCAAATAAATTCTGTACATACTCAATCAGTAAAAAACAGGGATAAATGTGAGAATTCATTCTCCTCCCCCCCTTAGGATCTCATCAACAATGGCAGAAAACTTGATTGGAAATTAATTTGAATGTACATTAGCTTAGTGTAACAATTATTTATTTTTTGTGGTCCAGTATCTGACTCCAGTTATTATCGCTTCTGATTGTTATTGAAATACGCATGTTGCTAATCTTCGTATACAATTATCGACTTAGATCGCGTTAGTGAATAGCGGAATTAAATAAGTCAAACACGAGAATGGAATCTGAATATATATATATTTTGTACAATCATTGATCCAGGCAGACGATAAAGAAACGAAGCGAAGAAAATAGAGTGAAGTGAAACGAAACGATGCGCGGTGGAGAAGACGTGTTAGCAAAATTAATTTAGCCAAGCGTCGAACAGAAATAAGTTACAGACACATAATGAGTAGGGTAAGTAATTAGCACATATACGATCATATAAAAAAAGTTAGAATTAGTAAGCGAATAAGTGACAGGGTAAAGATGTGGCTTGAGAAGAAACAATAGATTAGTCTGTCCAGAGGCTAGAATAACATAAATGAGTTGACACAGTACCAGCCCATATAGATTGAAGTCAAGACAGTTTCTGAAATTCTATTTAATATCTTTTCTATACAACGCTAATTTGCGTGTTCACATTGACTTACAACAGAAATCATTTCGGTAAGTATTTTTAATTTGTTCTATAATTTTTAGTTTCAAATAAATATTATGGGTTGTATGCGGTTGATAAAGGCCTAGAAACAAAACAAAATGAATCCATTCATTTTATATTGTTTGTTCGAATCTTTCGATTAATGCTTAGGATTGCAATTGATCCACAGGCACATCCAGCTGACGAGTCTCAAAAATGACGAAACGCGTGTCCTAGATTCTGCTGCTAGCCACCATTCATCTTCTCTTAAAAATGGATTCATGTTATTCTGTTCAAACTATTGTTTACTTCCCCGTCCTTTTGAAAATTAATCAAAGAAACCATGTAACTATGACACTTACTCGATTTTCAGGAACAATTAATTTATAACCTTTAAAAAAACAATTTTTCTCAAAGATTTCTCTGTGACGTGGTACCAAATCACCTATATAAGCACAAAAATATATGAAGAAAGAAAAATGATTAAGTTCTTTTCAATTAATCAGTACATTGATTGATGATGAGTAATGTACACCCATCTTAATACTAGTTAAATTCGAATAACGGACTAATTTTTCAAAACGGAAAGGCAATACAATGTGTCAGTTAGGAATCGGCCAAATGATAAGTGCATATGATCGGTCAAGAAATGGCTTTCTTCCCCGAAATATAGGATATAAAGTATTGATAGTTTAACTTCCTTGAAGAGGGAACATACCTATATAAATATATGAATGGGTGTATGTAAATGTGGTTCAGTTGAGCAAAACAAACTTTCTTCACACTCTGTCTTTTCTCTTAGATAGCCAGGTTCGTGTATAGAAAGGGTGTGTATCAGTATCGCTTCTCAGATATCACATGTCATAGCAATAAAGATGAGTATTCTGTGAAGACTAGTTCATTTTTAAGTTAGATTAAATCATGAAGTGGGGTCATTTAGAAAATTGTTAAAAAATAGGATTCAGTGGACAGTTCGAGACAATTCAGCTATGTACACTTACAATTCAAAAATGAGATCCAACTCAGAACTTCAATTCTCACAGTAATTACAATACATTCAAATTATTATTTTGAAATTCATTGAACAACATGTTCAAGTATAGTAAACTTTAACGATATCATGTAACCAATGGTGAATATTACTAGTGAGTTTTGTCTTTTTCCACTGATTACAGCTGCCTAATTATTTTCTTCCCTAACCTTAGGAGAAGGTAATATCAACCGCTTTTATATAGATCCAATAAACCAAAAGTGTACATAAAAGTGACTCATAATCTTATCTACTGCTTACCCAATGTTTGTGTAATCAAGTGCAACTGATCTAAATCTGATCGACCAGGCCATAATGGTAGAGAAGTCAACATTTCAGCAACAACACATCCAATAGCCCATATATCTACTGGTGTACCATATTGTGTATCACCAACGAGTAATTCTGGTGCTCTATACCATCGTGTTGCCACATAATCAGTATATTCATCACCTGGTCCAGCTAATGAAGAGAACAGAAAGGAACTAGAAAGTGAATTTAGTGATTTTTCGATAAGTCAATAAAAAAAGAAGGATAACAGATCTATATGGTATATATTAGCGCAATAGCATTTCCAGACAAATCAGAAAGTAAGAGTAAACGAAGATAATGAAGAAAACAATATGAAGCTTACCATGTTGAACAATAAATCAATACAACTAAGGTAGGCTCAGGATGTGAACAAATGATTTTTGAACACATAAAGGGAATTTGAATTTTTTGTGGAAAAGGCTTCAACAAACCCTAGTATACACGCCTAAACACTTTTCCAGTAATTGAAGGTTCGATTTGATATCTATACAATAACCTGTCACAACCGAATGTTTCACAATACAATATGTTTGTCTATTCAGTGTTCTTATTTGACTACTGGAATTCGTTTGTTCATTTAGCTACCTAGGTATGCGTTCAAACAACCCTACTTTGAGATCACAATTGCTCCTCCCTATCCATGTAAACTGATAGACGCAGTAGGATGTGACACAATCATCTACATGGCATCTGAATTTTTGATAAAACATAGACTTTGACTTTTCGGTAATGATGAATAAGGCTGCGTAAATGTCCTATTTATCACTAATTCAAGTCTTCATTTCAACATAAGGCTATTTGAGTTACCTCTAGATTGTAGAGTGATATTAAAACGTTTTTGGGTGCCAATAGTTTAGTAGGTATCATCATATTGCGACCTTTCCATTGGTTCATGAACTTCAATGAATAACCATTTTTCATAAGTGATTCAGTTAAGAGCTTTACTTTTCCCTCACTTGTATCGCTAGTGCACATACGATTGTCTCTTTATCAACCTAGGTTTGTACAGGACTGGCCAATGGTTATGAAAACTGTTCATTTGGACTTTTTACATACCAAAAGTTTGATGAAACCATCATTTCTTCTACAAATTAATACATCTTAAAAAATAAGTTGGATATTTATCTTTTCTTCACATGTAAGACAAACAAGTTTTTTTTAAATTATGTTGAGTTCTTTTAACCAGCCGTTCATATTTTTATGTTTGTCACTTATGATTATAATATCATCCACGTACTACATATATAGGTATATCTTTTAAATTGAATCTTCAAGTAAACTTTCAACTTCTGCTATAAATACATCAGCTGACAGTGATTCTTAAAGGGCTATCTATTGTCACGTTACCATTGAATAATAATAAATCGTTATTGATTCAGATCATAAATCGATTGATGCTAGACCACCGTTGGAAACCTGGAAGCACTGGACGGCCGTTTCGTCCTATTGTGGGACTCCTCAGCAGTGCGCATCCACGATCCCGCTCACGGGATTCGAACCCAGGGCCTTCAGTCTTGCGCGCGAACGCTTAACCTACTGGACTACTGAGCCGGCATCCAGTGATGATAGTGTCTAACATCAACCAATCCACGAAATTGCGCAACCATCTTCCATTGTACTGAGGTAGATACCTGTCTCTACCCGACATGGATTAGCTCCACTGGTCACGGCTCACTAGTGACTAGCTTCGTGAGGGAATTCTCGGAGTTCTAGTGAGAAGCCGTGACCAATAGAGTTAATCCATGTCGGGTAGAGACAGGTATCTACCTCAGTACAATGGAAGATGGTCGCGTAATTTCTTGGATTGATTGAAGTTAGACATTAATACCATTGAATACCGGCCGTCTCAGTTGTCCAGTAAGTTAAGCGTTCTCGCGTAAGACTGAAGGCCCTGGGTTCGATTCCGTGAGCAGGATCGTGGATGCGCACTGCTGAGGAGTCCCACAATAGGACGAAACGGCCGTCCAGTGCTTCCAGGTTTCCAACGGTGGTCTAGCATCGATCGATTCATGATCTCAATCAAAAACTTAATAATCTCCACAACCCCTTTACTGGTAATAAATTGTTAATCGTTTTGAAAAAAAATAATAGTAGACAGTTATTTAATCAGATATAATTACGTACAATATCAATAATCTTTCTAAGAGGTACTTTTAACTTATTATTCAATATGATACGATTCATAATATTGTTTTCTTTACTATCATTGTTTTTCTGTTATCTTCCTATATATATATATAACAAGTATATATGTGGTCAGATTGTGTTCTTTAATCTTCATCTCATTTACATTATCCCGATCAATAAAACAAAACTAATTGTTTTCCATTAGTGATATTTATTTATTTATCCAATTTAAAGTATATAGATTTTGAGTATTGTGTAAGGTACTGAGAAATATCTACCATTATAAATGACTTAATAAATTTGTAAGAAAAACTATAATAGAAAAGAGTAAACTATTTGATTAACCATTGAAAAGAAACTATGTGTAATGAGTGATATAGTTCAGTTGAAGAAATAGTCAAGAAAGACTATTATTTATTTCACTGGTTGAAATCATGAGTCAATTGAAACTAGACCACCATGGAGAACCTGGAAGCACTAGACGGCGGTTTTATCATAGTATGGGACTCCTCAACAGTGAGCATCCACGATCCCGACCCCGCGAGATTCGAACCCAGGACCTATCAGTCTCGTGCGCGAACTCTTAATCTTTAGACCACTGAACAGGCATCCAACTGTGTTAAGGTCTAACTTCAACCAAACAACGAAATTGGTCTAAATGTTAAACGTTCGCGTGCTTCCAGGTTTTCCATGGTAGTCTAGCTTCAGTTAACTCATGAATTCAATTATTAGTTAGGGGATTATGATACAATTTACCAGACAAGTAGAAGCTTCAAGTCAAGTCATTTTCTAAGTTTCAATGGTAGAAAATATAAATTATTTAGGAAATATCTATGTTAAATGTGTTTGCCCGCAAAGGAGAATCGGATCTCGAACCTTTAGTTTTATATATGAACTTCTAGCTTTCAGACTACTAAGCCCGGATCCTATGGTATACTAGTTTAACTTCAATTAACTTACACTATTACGCGACTATCTCCCACTGTTTTCGACAACTCGCTTACACCCGACACGATTGAACTACACTGGTCGCTGATTGATTTTAGTTAGACTTATACACCACTGGATCAGGTCCTAGTGATCTAGTGGTTAAGTGTTCACACGTGAAATGAAAATTCCTGTGTCTAACTCCCGGTTGTGGGACCATAGATAAAAGCTATTCAGGCCGTCCAACGCTTCCAGATTTTAAACGGTTGTGTAACTTAAATCGGTCAGTAATTTCAGTGGAATTCAACAAGTCCCATAGCCTCATACTGATTATTATATTATTGTTATCAAAACAAATAATGTTAAGTTGGAGGAGTTAAACTCACTTAATAATCTTGCAAAACCAAAATCACATAACTTTAACTGACCAGATTTTGTAATAAGTATATTCTCTGGTTTAACATCACGATGAATGCACTAAAATACAAATAATCATAAGTTAACAGATTAAATTATAGACAAATACACATTTAGAATACTTAATAACATCGACTATTTATTAAAATCGGTTAGTGTTTAGCATTGGAATATAGGATATGAGTTTCATCCCATCCAAAAATTGTCAACTGGATGAATCCGCATCTCAATGTTGATATCCATACTTGGACTCAAACCCATCGTCTTTTGGTTCGGACGCCAAGGGGTTATCCAATAAGCTACCATGTTCAGAAATTCACAGTCCCATCCAAATTACAAGTTCTAACAACGAAAAAAATACAAATTCTTAAAACTAAAAATACACACTCGTTGCACAAGCTAGTGGTTCAGCAGCTCATTGGACAATACCTTGACACTTGAAGCTAAAGGTGCTGGGTTAGAGTCCCGGACTGAACATCAGTATTTCGATGCTGGTGCATCTAACTGACAAGTCTCTAGTAGGACAAAACGAAAGTCCTGGATTTCACTTCTAATAACTATCCAACAGTAATAAATTCTGTGGATAAATGAGTATGTCGTTGTAATCTGCTCAGGATTTACACTTTCTTTCAAAGACTTATCAATTGCAGTTCATAAAATTAACAACTTGATAATATAAATTCTTACAAATGAATGACAACAATTATTTAAAATAAACAGTTTGGCGCAAACTGAATAGTAGTGTAAGGTAATTTTAAACATATACCGACGTCAGTTAGGCAGTTACTCCTAGGTTGAAAATCATAGTTAGCCTAAAATTATGATGATACAGGGAAGCGAAGCTTAAAAGTCTCTGGTATCATCACTAATTCAGTCAGTTCGTAATGTGGTACACAGTTCTCGTTTAATAACATCTATGTATATCCATTTTATTTCCAACTTGGTTTCCTACATAAATCTAATTCCTATTTTGATATAAGTTTTACAAAGAGAATAGATGTAACTACACTATACTATTGAATTCCAGAAATTTTTTTTAAAAACGACATTGAAACGTTTTATACCTATTGTTAGCCAATAAAAAACATTGACATCTTTGACTTGACAGAAATCACTCGTTCAAAGTAAATAAATAAATAGCCGAATAGGATTGACACAATTTTAAATGGTTTAGGGGAATAAGACCTTATTCCGAGTAAGAAAACTAACCCTTTTAGATATTTCTGTACAAACATGGTATTATTTCTACCCTAGACTGACACAGTACAAATTTTCATGTCAATTGAAAGTGAATAAATTATCTCATAAATGCATTTTGTATAAAGATACTCGTTAAACGATTGTGAATTGATATTGCTTTTTGAATATCACCTTGAAGCGCTAGAGGTTGCTAATTTGAAATTGATTAGTTTGGAAGTATATAACAGATTGATTATAAAACCTATTACTAATCTATTAACTAATTGGAAATTAGATTGTTTCGTTCTAGTTTATGTTAAAGAAATACCCATTCACTCACTTACTCATTAACCTACAGAAATCGAACACTTAACACTGGGTTCTGAAGATAAGAACAATACAACTTGAAAAGTAGGTTGGAACTGTAACATTCATTCAGTGTTATCGTAGTGATTAAATGTTTCACTCTCAATACAACTAATCTTACCAATTCATTTAAGCGAATAATTCAGTTCAATCATTACATATAATTTAATTTATAAACCCAGAAAAACATAATTCAATATTGAAATAACATTCTCTAAATGAGGATCCTATTTTAATGCTGCCGATCAGTGCAATTTATGATGAGTAAATTTCTAGCATTCATTTGATGTTTTTCTCTCGGATTAATATATATATTTCTTGATATTATTCATCTTATTAAAGGATAAATAAAGATCTAATGTCGATGAATGTCATTAGTTCAAAGAACTTGACCAATTCAGCTCAGTAACTTAACAAAAAATACTATGAAATGACATAAATAGCTTTTTGATAGGTATGATAAATCCGATGATGACTAGTAGTGGAATCCAGGACGAGCATTTCATCCTATTTACTTATGACTTAAGACAATATCAAGATAATCCGTACAAGATGCACATATACTAATAAGAGACTGATCAAGTACAATCCTAAACATCAATAGGGTAGATACAAACAAATAATACAAAATGAATTTATATGACAAATACATTGAATAAAATTTTCCTACATTATGCGCATGACAGAAATTCACTGCTTGTAACAATTGATATGTTAATTTTCTTATTTGTAATCTATCCAACCTGAAAAATAAACCCCGCGAAAATAAACATTAAACCACAATAACAAAAAAGGAACCAATTCTTAAACAAAATACAACCAATCTAATTTCATAATATTGATTTAATCACATACATAATTGTACTCTACTACTGTGATGTAACGGGCAGAAGAGGTAAGAAAAAAACATTTGCCACCCTGTGACCATCATTCTATCTTGGTTATATGTCTTGGAAATGAATAATATTGTTTAATTTCATTAATAATGTATTCAACTAGTAAACTACTGATTCAATCTGTTCAGTTTCAGATCCTAGTGATCAGTTCCATGAGAAAATTAACATATTGTCTTCCTTTGTCATTTCTATACTTATCAAATCCATTTTTCTGTCATAACTAGTAAGCTGGTAGAAGGCCAAGATTCTTCCCAGTTGAATGAGTGGTATCTTTCCATAAAGTTACTTATTATCACTAGTACTATTCTGAAACCGGATAATTATCGTATCTTATCGTGAAATTGATAATATACATCGTTGGCTTGCAGCCAAGTTCAATATCTAATGTCAACCTAACGGTACATAACTTAGTATAACTTTAATTTCATAAAACCCTTGTTAAGCAAATAATATGTAGTGTGTAATACGACATCAATAGCTAAAAATATTTTCTTGTAACTTTCAAATCCCATCTGCGTAAATACGCTATGGTGTCTCAGGAGTTTAAAGCACAAGCTGATGTGACTACCTAAACATTAAAAACGGATTGGCTGTACTTACCAGTTCCTGTATGGATGAGAATATTAATTAGTGAATAGATTATTAGGGCATGTTTGACGAGTGCATTTGTTTGCTATATGAAATGGTGCTGACTGATACAATGATAAATTGTGGCTGATGAGTGTTATAAGTTATGTGGTATTAGTAGGGATACCGTAGATAGTTTGAATCTTTTTATGAACCAACTGAGTGTTGATTGTTGAGCCAGTCACCTGGCTACAAGCAACGTAGAATCTAAAATATACGTCTGTACTATTTAGTTGTGGATTGAGTGTATTGTTGGTGTTGCCTACCTGATGAGAAGGCCTACAAATCATAAGTATAGTTTTGTTTTTATGAACGGGCTTTTGTGTTCAGGTATGTGATATCTAATGTGTTTATTAAGTGAACAAATGGGTTTTGATAAGTTTATTTGCTAAGGTGTTACACTGGAAATTTGATGAATTTTACAACCGATCAAAATCTGCGCAAAAATTTGAATTTTTCCGTGATTATGTGGAGTAAAAAGTCATTTTCTTATTCTTAATTAAACTTCCGACAAAAAGTCCTAAGATTCTATGGATAAATAGTTTGGTATTAAAATTATTATAACCCGCTCAGTGGTCTACACGTTAAGCGCTCGCTCACGAGACCGACAGGTCCTGGGTAACAATTCTGCGGGGGGTATCCAAACCGAAACAAGCTGAACATATTATCGAACCAGGAAGATTTGGAGGTCTTTATGAGCTTCTCACTATTCAATTAATGTATCCGTGTAGGATTCTCTACATTTTATTGACAATGTTTATAGCTTAATTTACTTCTTATTTTTAAAAATAAAGTTGGATAACTCAGTTCACATTAATTTATCGAGGTGATTTTCTCTACTGTAACGTAACAGAGTTTATTTAATCCATTGGATAAACTGTTACGTTCTGTGAATGACCAATTCAGATACAAACACATCCTATATGCTTTCTCAACTACCAAAAAAGAGTGAAAAGAACGCAATTTAGTTAGGAAGCTTTAATTCCTGAATCGAACAATTGGATACACAAATTGTCTCTACACACATATTTATTCTTCTGATCCAAACAAGAAAATATAGGCTGAGATTCGAACTAAGGGTATACTTGGCTTTCTTCAATAGTGAGTCTCATTTACGACTTATCACCTACAATTTGACATTGGGATAGTATATGATTACAGACCTAGGCCCGACATTCCTATCATAAATACAAAAAACATTATTTACAACCAGAATCATTTTATTCGATCCTGTATATCTGGTATCAGCATAAAATTGTCAGCACAAAATATAAAACACTTCCATGTATGCTTCTTTAACTGAAGCTCAGAAATGAAACTAAAAGATGCCAGCTTTTCGCAATGATTGTATGTCATTTTATTTGCAAAGATTTGTGAAGGTTATCGACTAGTTTCATCTCTACCATTCTTCTCATCGCAAAGAATAAATATAGTAGAAAACATGTCAGGGCGAAAATGTTTTTAGCGAATGAATCCATCCCATACGAATGCAGGTAAAGACAACCAGTGTGGCAGCAGCCTATACAGCAGTAGGCTTCAAAAACAGTTTTGTTAAACTGGATGAAAGATTCAACGAACACTCAGCTTCGAGATCAACAGACTGGATTAAGTAAGGATCGCTAGTGAACAGAACACATCGAAACACTACGGATCAGCGTTAAACAATCGATTGAATGAAACCTATGACTATAAATAAACTTCCTTAACTATGGAAAGGCGTTTGACAGCGTGGATAAAAAAGCCTTATGGAGCCCTCTCCAATACTATGGTGTACCTAAGAAAATCGCTAAAATCATACGAAATTCACACAACGGACCACACTACAAAGTGCTGCATGGAGGACAGCTGACAGATACATTCTAAGTGAGAACCACAGTCAGAAAAGTTCACTTAATATCTCTTTTCCTCTTTCTACTGTTAGTTGACTGGATTATAAAGATGTAGATGTAGATCTGACGAGAAGCACGGAATACAATGAACGGCTCAGAGTTAACTAGACGATTCGAACTTCGAAGATGATCTAAGCCTCCTACCCCATACATAACAACAAATGCAGATGAAGATAACCAGTGTAGCAGCAACCTCTGCATCAATGAATCTCAACATAAACAATAGAAAAGCCAAAATCATCAAATACAACATGGAGAACACCAACTCAACCATATTTGATATAGAAACTGTGGAGTAGGTGGAAAATTTCACATACCTGCACAGCACCATCGATGAAGAAGGAGGATGTGATGCAAACGTAAATCCAGGGATTAGTAAATCAAGTACAGCATTCCTACAGTTGAACAACATATACAAATCAAAACAACTCTCAACCAATATCAAAGTCAGAATCTTCAATACGAACGTCGAAACAGTTCTACTATACGGAGCTGAAATTTGGAGAAACACTCTAACCATCATCAAGAAGTTACCGGTATTTCTAAACGCAAGCTGCTGAATTTCCGTTGACCGGATACCATCAACAACAACCTAGTATGGGAGAGAACAAACCAGCTTCGAGTTGATTGGTAGATAAATTAGGAAAAGACGTTGGTAGTGGATAGGACATACATTGTGGTAGTCATCAAACCACATGATGAGGCAAGCGCTAATTTTGAATCGTTCAGGGGAACAGTAAAGAAGAAGACCGAATGGCAACTGCGTCAAGAATTGGAAGCGGATATTGAAAGGATGAATAGCAACTGAAAAGGTTTGACTAGGACTGGTGGGTGGTCCATGCTCCTCAACGAGGGTTGACTGGTGTAAGGAAGTAAGAATGAATCTGAATACAATGTGTCTCGTTTTGTCAGAGGATAGATAAGGAGACAAATAAGCCAATTGCTGCAACGTATTGTTTGTACAGGATTTGCATTTCTAGATTTCGCTATTAAGATCTACAACCAGTCAATCTCTTTTGGTACATGAGGATCTTCAGTGGACTGCCTCGATTATAGTAAAGTCAAATTGCAACTGTCAGAGGAATCCCGAATTCCCATTTCGTCTCATATAGAACTCATCATCTAGATATTTCTGTATCTTAGGTTTCACTACAACACAACACTGAAATATTAGCTGAAAACCTCTTTATTGAAAGTTAATATCGATTTATCATGTTCAGGATGTATATTATCTCAATAAGGATTGGTCATTTGTATTTTCTAATATCTATGACGGGAAAAATAGCCCCCCCCCTCCACAAACAGTTTATTACAATTATTGTATTATATTTTTGAGCCTTAATTTAAATAAACATGGAGTTATTATATTGTTACTTTTGTTTAAAAATGACTTAAAAATTAACCAAAGTTATATTTTTAAAAAAGGAAACTACAATTGTACAACCAGCGTCGATACTAAAAGTCCAGATAATAATCTAAATAATTCAATTATATAAATATAATAATGGAAATTATTGTAAATATGAAGACAAGATCATTTAATAAAGAAGAAAAACAGAACTCAAGTTTCTATTAGTTACCATAGTATCAGGGATTGTTTATATTTGACATGAAAAACAAACACACGTACAAAAATAACAACAACAACAATAACACAATGAATATAAAACTTATTGAATTACTCTGACTATTCTTAACTCAATAAATATAATTTAAGAAAATAGTAGTGAAAAGAACTAGATAAAGAGACAAAAAGGAGGGGAGTAAAAGGGAAACGGTAACTAAGGGAAATGTTAGGTGCATTACATTAGTAGGATACAAGTCATCTGTAAATGGTTATTATCTTATTTTAATGATCATTTTATAAAGATACACTAATATAAATTGACTACATCAAATTACATTTAAAATATTTGAGCAATGGCTTTATCTAAACATCATACTCTTAGCAGTGTTATAGAGAAATAAACATATATGATTGTTACAATTTTTTTATATTTGGAGAGATAATGTTGTTCAGATAGTAAGGAAAAATTGTACAATGTTCAACAAATGATGAAGATAACATGAATGAATATGCGTATGTGTACGTAAGACAGAGAAAACAAGAGTGGATAAATAGAATACATAATTTAGTACTTTTAAAATAGATAAAGAAACAAACAAAAACGTCAAAACGGAGTTTTGATAATTAAAACAATAACTTTTAAAACCTAGTTTATTCTTAAAGATTGTTTGAATCTTTCTTTGCTGATATTGAGGACTGTAATTGATAGGCATGCTTCTGATATTTATGCATCTTCAGTGGATTGGTTCAATATTACCATTAAGTCACAAACATTTTAAGCAGAGATGCATAGCATTTAGCGCTGGTATTCAGGATATGGATTTGATCGTATTTTTGGATTTTTTATTTATTTGAATGTACCTAGATTCTGGATTCCACTATTATCAACTATCCAACTATGCTTAAAATACTTGTGAGTTAATGGAGAAATTGATACAATTCACCCAGAATCCACAAATGCCTTAAGAGCCTAATCAATTACAATCTTTAGTATCAACAACCGGAAGATTCAAATAATTCTTACAAGTGAATTAAAATTCATCCTTGTCGTACAAACCATTAACTATCTGAACGTAGTAACTCAATGGATAATTCATTAGTTTTTCGAAGTGAAAGCCACTGAGTTTGAGTCTCAGAGTAAATATTAATACTAGAATATTGGTACATCTAGTTGATAAGTCCCGGATAGGATGAAATGTGCTTACGGGATTCCACTGTTAGCTATTACTAAACTCCTTTCAAAATAATTGTTAAATTATTTGGTAGATATTTCTATTTATCGAGAAAGTTAAATTCGATTAAAATATAAAAAAATTAAGAATCAGACAATTTATGGCAAGAGATGAATTCATTCATGGCATGTCACTGTTTTCTCCTCAGTTAAAGAGCTTAGTGCCCCCGAATGCCCTGGTACGGTCGAGAGTGGAGAGAGTCCGTTCTGCCTCTCGAAATGCTCTCACATGGCCACGCGTATATAGCCTCTGCCAGGGAAGTCCTACTCACTGACTTCTTGTGGCGGGGGTGTTGTTTACGAAATTGAAAGGTTGAAAAGCGAATGTTCAGCGCTTTGACCGGGTTGACAGACATGAAGAGTTCACCTAGGGGAGTTGGAAAACTCTGATTCCAAACCAACATGGGCTCCAGTATCCCGAAGTAACAAATGGTGTGTGAACCAATTGTTGGTCACTGTCTACCATGGGACTGCATATCCTTACGTTGCTTCACTGCCTTGTGGATCAGACCTTTGGGTCAAAGGTCCAGGGTGTGGCCTCCTGCTTCGGTTTGGGCACTTGGGCAGTATCGTAGCCCTCACACATATCAAATGAGTTTTGTGTGGCGCATATGTGCCCGGTTCCCCTTTATACCAATATCTATGTGTTCAAATAAATAAAGAGCTTAGTTATTGATATGGTTTGAAATTCGAAAGAAAATGAATTATCCATCAACTGACAATAAGTTATTTAAATTATAAATGTAACTAAAACTTCAAGTTTAAAAAGGGTTTTCTTAGAAAATATTCGAAGTCATAGTTTCAGAATAGTTAAGATAACTTTTTTAAATTACAGAATCTAACAAAAGTCGAAGAGGTTTACGTAGAAAACAATATGAAGATTGAACTTAATGAGTTGTCATAACAGTTAAATAAAGGACTAAACATGAAAAAAGAGGAGTTGAAATACTTCACTTACCAAGGTAGAGAAAAGTTAACCACTGACCTTTTGAAATACAAAGATCGAGTTCAAATATAATTTCCATGACTTCAGAGAATATCTATAAAAGATAGTTAAAGTGTCCATTGACCACTTTAGATACATTCATTGTCTCCACTTTGTCCCTGTTATCTAGCACTTGATGTTCTATCCAGCTATATGGACTATTTTGTCCACGGAGGCATTGTTTCTTTGGAATGTTCTCAATAAAACGTGTATAAGTTTGTCTTCCCATACCCATAACGCACATATTTTTCAATGTTTATTTAAGTCCATACAAACAGTTGAAAGTGATATGAGAGAGATGTTTGCCTATCTTTGTGTTAGTGAACATTACATTATGTACAGTAGAAATAGGTTAACGGTTGGAAATAAAACTTTTATATTTTCACTTGATTGATCTTATTCTTCGATTAATGATCTTTGTACATCATTCTCATAAGAACTTGTACTTTTTTCTGGTTTGTGAACTATTATCCTACGAAATAAATATAATGAATTCATGGGATTCTGTAATTTATATTGATGGAGAATTCTGGTGGGTGGCCTATCCTCCTCCATGAAGGGTAACAGGCATATGTAAGTAAGTGATTTGCTAAAGTTTTCAGAAGAAAACCAAATGCATGGAATATATTTTTTTTATTGAGAAATAATATTCATGTTATCATTGCACAATTAAGTAGGATTTATGTAGACTTTCTGTAAACTGATGATAATTTCCATTATAAATTGACATCAGAGTTTAAAAGCCACTAAAAATTGTTCAATTGTATTTTTCGTTTTAAAGGCTCCTTATAGCAGTACTTGCCAATGATCATTTCTACGGAATCATACTAACTATGTGTACAAATTAACTTAATCGACTTTGTAGTATAATCAATCACTGATTTAGTCAAACGCAATGTAGAACATGTCACATGTGTACATCGGTATAAGTTCCCAAATCCAGTTAGCATAGTTAGATAAAATTGTCTAGACAAATTTCATGGCAATAGAGATAGTAACAGTATTAGTAGTAATAGAAAAGATTAGGGATAGGAGATACAATTCTAGAAGAAAATAAAAATGAGAGAAATAATTAGAAGAATTTATCAGAAATTTAGGAACTTTGGATCTGAGCTAACGATTTTGAGTCATATCGTTCAAATTCTCTAACCATTGGTTGCAGTTATCACGTGGAAGTGATACATTATCAGAGGATGCAAAAACATTTGTAAAGATAAGATGAGTTTAGATTCAAAGAAATATGTCATCAGAGAAAAGGTTGAACTCGATATGCAATGAGACAATTAAATCATTTGAATTCAAAGGAAATTCATCGGACAAATTCGAAATTACTCTGCTTAACTGGTAGATTAATGACTATTTAATTCAAAATTAATGTATACAGAAAAGTATTTTATGTATTACAATAGTCAAGTCTTTTCAGTTAAAGTAAATCAACAATAGAAATCTATTAAAATAACATAATCTTTATTTAGATGAGGAAAGTTTTGTTTCTTCGGTAAAAATGAATAGTTTTCATTGGTCCAGCAATTATTGAATCAGACTATGATAAAATAAACTAACTTCGTGTTGATCCATTGCCACATATCTCATGTTTTGTTTTAATAATCGTCCATTCAATAGTGACAAACTTTAAGATAGGTTTGTGAAGTTCATTTATGAAGCCAAGATAAATGGAGTTTAACCCATGTCGATAATGAGATAAATGTCCCTAGTGATAATAACTGAGCTTCAGGTAAACTTGTGTAATTTGATCAAAGTTGGAAATGTTGTTTACTGAATTTATTATGTCTGTCACGGAAGCTAAAAGCTTTATATCCAATTCCTTGTAGTAAAGTTAGTCAGCCACATTGAGAAATATCTGTCCAGTATTCTATAGTTTTCAATGATTCTCTAGTCTATAACATTTATTGATGAAAGCTAACTTTTAACATTTACATGATATAAAACATTAGTTTTCAATGTATAACTCTTTAAATAATCCACCATGAAATATCTCGTAGACTAACAAAGAAGTAGAAGGCAGATTTTATTTACAAATAATTTAACCAATGAGAATTAAGAGTTGCTGAATATTTGCTTTACCCTAGCATAGAATCCCTCAACATTACTTATCAGTGATCCTATTAAGAGATTGAACTAAGGATCATTATATCTCACAGTGAATACTATATATGTAAACCTCAATGTTGGGACAGATAAGTCTATATTATCGATTTTAATCATTCCGGGATATCGTATGATCAGTAACGATTTTCATCGATAATCATTGTATCTTTATTAAAACGACGAAGCTTATCTAATCACTATAAATGGAATGAATAAATTTTCTTCATTATCGAGTGACGGAAAGTTGTTTAAGGCTAACAAAGTACAATGTTTTGTAAAAATAAAACTAATGAATCACAATATAAAGTGGTATCAATTGGAATACAACTTAGGAATAATGTTCATTAACACGTTTTTGAGATATATATTTGTTGAATATTTCTTGGTAGCCACCGTATACTTAACTTTAAACGAAAGTTTGTATTACAGAATTATATAGATGAAAGCGTACTTGAACATGTCCTATACATTTTCTCTTCCTTCAATGATTTGATCAGATGATTTCTTTAATAATTAAACTTAATTCAAATTTCCCAGTATTACAATAACAGAGTAAGTATCAAATGAAACAATTCACATTTTATTTATTTATATATTAGATAGAAACTATACTTAATAATGAATTGTTGAAGATGAATTATATAACCTCACATCATATTCAGGACTCTTAAACAATGTTGACTCGTGAACGTTTTATGTATGAAACTCAGAACTTTCAATTCTCTTGGTTGACATTTTACTATTGAAACCATTGAATCTAGTCATGGGCAGATTCATAGATGTATACTGTTGAAGAGTCGAAACAGCTGTTCAGTGCCTGCTGGTTTTCAATGGTACCCTTAACTGAGAAAAATCTATAACGAATATCACTTATAGAATAAAATACCACATACAAAACCCAATCATCATTACACAGTGTACCAAAGTTATTAAACATTTATTACCCTTTCGTATGTTTCTCCAATTCATGCAATAATGTATGATCAACATACTGAAACACCAAATGCAATCGGCGTTTACGTTTGAAAACTTCAATTAAATTGATCAGATTTGGATGTTTTAATTGCTGTGTGAAAAAGAAATACGATATGAAAAAGAATCTATTGATAAGTAACAAGTATAATATTCAATTTTGAAAAATATTAATAGATAAGTTTAAAAATTCCTTCTTGCAATCGCGAACCAATCGTAGACAACCATTCAAAACTTGAAAGTACTGGATGACCTTTTTTTGCTAGTATGGGACTCCTCAGTAGTATGCACGACACTACAACAAAGGATAGAATCTAGGACTCTCAATGGCCCATTCGAACGCCAAACCTCTAGGTCACTGAGCCAGAGTTCAATGGTGTACCCACTTGTGACTAGTTTTGGGAGGAACTTTCTGAGTTGTAGTGGGAAACCGTGACCAGTGCAGTTCAACTGTGTCGGTTGTAAGGATGGTGCTTACCGAACACGATAGAGAATGGTAGTGAAATCTCCTGGGTTCATCTAAGTTAGACTTGCTCATTATCGGGTCCTGGTTTCGTGATTAAGAAGTTAAGTGTTCTCTCGTGAAACTAAAAGTCTCGGGTTCGATTCCTGGTGGTGAGGTCGAGGATTAACACTACTGAGGAGTTTCGCACTAGAACGAAACCTGTGTCCAGCATTTTCAGGTTTCCAATGGTTGTCTAGCATAGATCGGTTTGTGATTTAAATAAAACTCAACAATTTCCACATACCCATAGTGATAGTAAATTCTCTCTTGTATTTTCATGGTACGTCTATGCCTATTATAATATCTCGGATTAGCACCAGGTGACCCTGTGTTCAGCCATGGATGGACCATGGGTCTATAGCGCTGTAAAGTTTTAAACCAGGACAAACGAATGTTTAAAAATCCTTGATTTTTAAAGGTTTAGCAGCTGATATCAGTCCATGATGAAAGCTGCTACCCATAGTCTCTCTTTTATACAACTTGTGATACTAAAACTATATCACAACAATCCACATAAGATACATACGTGACTATTGAAGAGTCAAAATCCGTTTAGGAATATTAGTAACAGGACAAGTCAAACAAATTTAACCTTCAAATCACTTGCACAAGATACATAGTTATTAGTTTTTTCTATGACCATATATTTCAACTTACAATTAATTACAAATAGATATGTAAGCATCAATTTCTTGATCCGGCCTTAAATTTCTATGTATATGCGTTAGAAATAATATCTGAATAATCAAATGGAGTTAGATCGATTGGATTGAACGAATCTGTTTCAATTAATGAGTAGACATTTACAAAGTCATCTATTAGATTCCAAACTGAAACTCTTATCGCTTTCCGTACAAAAGAAAATTTAGTTAGCTTGAATTTATAACCTCCTAGATAAATGTCTATTTCATCGACCTATTAGATTAGTGTCTACCAAATAAGTGGATAATTTTTTTCTTAGAAAAAGAAAGAACACAAGTGCACAGATCAAACAAGAAGACTAAATTAAGTATATAAATTTTTAGGAAAGACAGTTCAGTCTTTTATCGAAATTCATTTCATCAGAGTCAGTTAGTAAGTTATAAATTACCTAGAGCCTAACATATATGTGAATCAGTCCAACTTGTCATGTCAGTTCAGATCAGCGAGATGAAATTATCATGATAAATTTCAGAGTAGTATAATAAGTAACAGTATTAGTAATAGCAAAAAGGATTAAGTATTAATATTATGATTTAGGGAACACAGTAAATTTCCGTAATAAAATGTATAAGATAAGAATAGAAAAGATTACATCATAAAGTGAGTCGAGACTCCAAATATCAAACGAGGTTACATAATAATCAGGGGGTTAAGAAGAAAATAATTTACGGGTCAGAATTATGGAAAATAATCTGTCCGCTCGACAGATACAAAGAAAAATGAAAAACATAAAGGTCATAATAATAACTGAATGATAATCGTGAAAAGTTGTTAAAACAATAATAATAACTGATTACGGGTTATAATTACAAAACATTAATCTAAAAAACAAGACCAAAACATACTTAAGAAAGGAATCAGGGTCAATGATGGATGAAAGGTTGAACATGTCCTTTTCGCACGCAGAGTTCGGGCTTGAATTGGTGGGTTTCCAATGCCTCAGCATGACTTAGTTCAACAGTTAGTGACTTCATAAACTGATGCCACATATTGATCTGTCAATCTCTACCTTTCTTTCAATCTAATCATACACCAGCTAACATCGTGAGTCGAGGTAGAAAGTAGTTAAACACGAGAAGTACATATCCTAACAACTTCAGCAAATGAAGAATCTCTAATTTATCAGCTGATTTATTAGTTTTTATCCAGCACTCTGAGTCTTACTTCAGTACAGCTCAATCAGTCCCAACATTCATTAACAATGCTTTAAAGTCATTCATGATCAAATATCCCTAACCTACAAATATCTTCTATTGTTGAAGGTCACTTCCCACAGACATAAAATAGAACAGCACAAATAAAAGTGATTTGTTAACCTTGATAGTCATGTCCTAGTGTCATTGTCATTATTTAATGAAGACCTGAAACATGGAAATTTTACAACCATTTGACGTTTAAATGAATTTTAACCATGTTTACTGTTGTGTTAAACATTTGATATAGCAGTGTGTAATTGCTCCGCTATAAAATGAATCCGATTATTGATCGGTCGTTCTGTCTCAGAATATTCATTTATTGAGAACTGCTTCAAGTCAATAAGTTGGTTTACATGTGTAGTTTTCACTCAACCACGCCAAATCACATTATAGTTTACATTACGAATTGATTTCAACTAAACAACAATTATTGTTTAAATAAAGTCAGTCAGTGATGTAAACTACAAACCCGCTAAAGTAATAAATTACATCAATTTAAGTAATCGATCCCACAGTTCACAATCATACAATATTCTCCTCCAATGTAAATGAGAAATTTCGTAACTTACTTTCAATGTACGAATTTCTCGCATTGCGATTCTATGTATTACTGGATCTTCTTCAGAGTCGGTAAATTTTTTAATAGCAACTATATCTCCAGTATCACGATGACGACATTTAAATACAACACCATATGCACCTTCTCCTATTCTTGTTAATTTTTCATAACGATCCATTTCAATAGTCAAATTCTAAATGTTAATTATTCAAAGTTGATTTAATGTAAATATAAATGTTTCTTGACATGAATAATAATTAAAACCATATTAAACTAATAGTTGAATTCATGAGTCAATTAAAGCTAAACCACTATAGAAAACCTGGCAGCAGTGAATGGCCGTTTCGTCCTGGTATGGGACTCTTCAGCAGTGCGCGTCTACGATCCCGCCCCACGAGATTCGAACCCAGGACCTATCGTGAAAAGACGAAACAGCCGTCCAGTGCTTCCAGGTTTTCAATGGTGGTTTAGCTTCAACTGACTTATGAATTCAACTATTAAATTGCTAAAATCTCCACAAAACCCCTTCTGGTAAAAATCATATTAGCCAAAAAACTTCGATGATTGAATGATTCTTCAAAGAAGAGACATTTTACTATGATTCAGTTCGTGCCTGTTTTGTGTAATAATCAAAACCAAAATTGTATCACAAATATAAATGATTAAAATTGGTCGGTTCTTTTAATAAACTTAAATAACACGATAAGAAGATAAATTTCGTAAGAATCATGTAATGCGTATAAGCACAACATGCGTTGACTTGTAAAGATATTTTTTACACAACAAATAAATGTTGAACTAGAAAAAATAGAGCATAAAGTCACAAAACAATTTTAAATAAACAGTATGAGATTGTGGGGATTGTTGAATTTCATTGAAATAATGAACTGATCTAGGTTGGACCACTATTGGAAACTTAGTAACAATGAACGGCCATTTCACCCTAGTATGAAACTCCTTAGCAGTGCTTGTCCACGATCGAACCGAGGATTTTCATTCAAACGAGCGAAATCATGAGCTCTGGGTTACAACTTTGTGAACTGATTGGGGTTAGACACTAACACCTTTGTATGCCGGCTTAGTGGTCTAGAAGTTAAGTATTACCGTGTAAGACAGATGATTCTTGGTTCGATTCCAATTTTTGGGATTGTGGATGAGCACTACTGAGGAATTCCATACTAGGGCCAAACGGTCATCTAGTGCCACCGGATTTCCAATGATGGTCTAATCTAGGTTGACTCGTGATTTCAATGTACTTCATGTCTCATTCTATTCACCAGTAAAAAATCTTATGTATACACGTGTTTGAACACATATAAAACGTAACATACTAATCAAACTCTGCTAATAGGTGCTGTTTGCTCTATGTAGCATTATTATAAAGTGTTGTTTCGGAGTATTTCACTTTATTAATCATCACCTACTTACTTACACCTGTCAGCCCTCGTGGAGGAGCATAGGCCGTCCACTAGCATTATGCATCCAACCCTGTCCTGGGTAATCCTTTCCGGTTCTTTCCAGTTGCTACTCATCCTTTCAATATCCGCTTCCAATTCTTGACGCAGTTGCCATTCGGTCTTCTTCTTTACTGTTCCCCTGAACGATTCAAAATTAGCGCTTGCCTCATCATGTGGTTTGATGACTACCACAATGTATGTCCTATCCACTCACAACGTCTTTTCCTAATTTATCTACCAATCAACTCGAAGCTGGTTTGTTCTCTCCCATACTAGGTTGTTGTTGATGGTATCCGGTCAACGGAAATTCAGCAGCTTGCGTTTAGAAATACCGGTAACTTCTTGATGATGGTTAGAGTGTTTCTCCAAATTTCAGCTCCGTATAGTAGAACTGTTTCGACGTTCGTATTGAAGATTCTGACTTTGATATTGGTTGAGAGTTGTTTTGATTTGTATATGTTGTTCAACTGTAGGAATGCTGTACTTGATTTACTAATCCCTGGATTTACGTTTGCATCACATCCTCCTTCTTCATCGATGGTGCTGTGCAGGTATGTGAAATTTTCCACCTACTCCACAGTTTCTATATCAAATATGGTTGAGTTGGTGTTCTCCATGTTGTATTTGATGATTTTGGCTTTTCTATTGTTTATGTTGAGATTCATTGATGCAGAGGTTGCTGCTACACTGGTTATCTTCATCTGCATTTGTTGTTATGTATGGGGTAGGAGGCTTAGATCATCTTCGAAGTTCGAATCGTCTAGTTAACTCTGAGCCGTTCATTGTATTCCGTGCTTCTCGTCAGATCTACATCTACATCTTTATAATCCAGTCAACTAACAGTAGAAAGAGAAAGGGAGATATTAAGTGAACTTTTCTGACTGTGGTTCTCACTTAGAATGTATCTGTCAGCTGTCCTCCATGCAGCACTTTGTAGTGTGGTCCGTTGTGTGAATTGCGTATGATTTTGATTGTTTGACAACGACCCATAGTATAACAATTCAATCTGTTCACGATCGATACTTACGGAATCCAGACTTCTGATCTCAAAGTTGGGCATCCATTGAATCTTTCGTCTGGTTCAATAACACTCTTTTTAAAACCTTTTTTAGTACCGATAGTAGTGTTATTCCTCTGTAGTTCTCACATTTTCTCAGATCTCATTTCCTCGGCATCTTGATGAGCTGTCGTTCTTTTTAGTCCGTCGTTACTTGTTCTTCATCCCGAATCTTCCTGGACAGAGTGTGGAATATCTCTGCAGTTACTTCTATGTCTGACTTTAATGCGTCAGCTGGTATATTGTCAGGCCTTACTTCTTCCTCATTCTTGATTTGTCTAATGGCCATCCTGATTTCTTCGATCGTTAGTTACGCGACATCTGTAGGACGGTTTGTAGGTGCTACTTTGATGTCCAGTGGATCCAGTAGAGCTAGCCTATTCAAGAGTTCCTCAAAGTATTCCACTCGTCTCTTTTTTTACTCTTGAATCTTGATGATTGGCTAGCTTTCTATTTCCTTGACCGGTCTCTCTGGCTTATTATATTTCCTTGCCAGTTTCTGCGTTGTGTCGTATAGCCGTTTCATACTCCCTTCTCTTGCAGATTTTTCCACCGTTGTTGCTAGGTCCTCTGCGTATTTCCGTTTATCAACTCTAATGTTCTTTTCGACTTGTTTGTTTACTTCTGTGTATTCGGATTTTGCCTTGACTTTCTCTGTCATTGTTCGGCTGTTGTTAATTGCTGTCTTCTTATTCTTTCTTTCTTGAATCTTGTCCAGGGTTTTGATCCATTACTTATGAGTGTGCTTCTTGTGGCCCACAACCTCCTGACATGTTGTAGTAAATACTTCTTTGATCCATCTCCAGTAGTTCTCCATAGCAGTTTCCTCTTGGTACAATGGATCTTGTGAGGGTTGGAACCTGTTGTCTTGAGTTGGTCGAGTCTTTCAGTATGTCGAAGGAAGACTGTGTTGAACATTTGTAACGTTGTTCGTCCAATTCTCCAATGCTTCTTCAGTTTCATCTTGGCAACCAACATGTAGATCGTGACCTGAAGCTATGCCAGCTTCTCTCCTGGTTCTCACAACTTCCACTGACCTTCTGAATTTTTGAGTGATGCAAATATAGTCTATCTGTGTTTCTGTGTTGTGGTCCGGTGAGACTCATGTAGCTTTGTATATGCTTTTGTGCGGAAACATTGTGCCGCCTATAACCAACTTGTTGAATGCATATTGATCTGCAAATCTCTCACCATTCCCGTTTCTTTTTTCTAGTCAATCTATGTCGTCCCATATTATCTTTGTGCCCGGTGTTGTCCATTCCGACTTCGTCGTTTAGATCTCCCATCAGGATTGTCAGTCTCTTTCCTATGCACTTCACTATGATCGACTGCAGCCTCCCATAGGACTGATCTTTATCGTGGTCATTGATATTATTGCTATCACTCATTGTAATTCCCTCCTTCGTTGTTTTGAAAGATGCTTTGATGATCCTGGATCCATGAGATTCCCATCCTACAAATACATTACGTGATTCTTTGACAGCACCAGATTAACTCCTTGATTATGTGGAGCATTTTCTTCCACGTGACTAGGGTATAGCAACATCTGTTTTGAATCCATCCTTTTTTGTCCAACTTGGGTCCGATGGGTTTCACTGATTCCGAGCACGGTCAAGTTGTATCTCCTCATTTCGTAGCTATTCGATTGGTCCTTCCGGTCTTCCATATTGTCCAAACATCCCATGTACCTATAAAAATCGTTTCTCAGGTTGTTAAAAGGGACGTCAGCCTAAATCTATGCATCGTACATCAAAGTTATCGTTATTAATGGATCTAAGAGTGAGGTAGAAAATGATTGTTTCTTCCTTTTCACTTAAGGGTTTTCATATTTATCTCTGTGCTTCCATGATAGCTTCTCCGCAGTTCTCCATTCACAAAATTATTTACATACACCTCTCATCTTGGGTTTGAACCGTATAGATTACTTTTAAAGAATGTGGTTGATTGTCAGTAATTGTGCAAGCTTATCTCTGTCAACTTTTGTTGGCAAGTGTGCTGTTTGTTAGAATGCTTCAATTTTGCCTAGAATCCTTCCTGAGTTTTCATTCACAGTGTGTGTTTCGCCCTATAAATCAGTTAACGGTTTGACGCACGTTATTTATATGAATAAAATTCCAAAAACATATGTTCAGCATGTTCTTTTTTTCAATGAGTCTCCAGCTAACATCAGTCAGTGACAACATCTATCTTAACATATGTAAAACAACAAAACTGCGCAGGTAACTGAGGGCCCAATAAACGAATATCGAGCAAACAGCTGAGTTAATTCCGTAAAATTTAAATAATTAAAATTTGGATTCTCAAGAAATCCAATTAATTCTTGCATGGATGGTCCAATTTTTTATTTACTAAGTATGAAAATTATCCTATGTCTAAGGAACACAATCAATCTGACAATCTATTAAAGCCCTTTGAATCTTGAAAGCAATCAAATTCATATTGGAAAGATATTTTTAATCTCTTCGTCCAAACGTTAATTTTTTACTTTAATAAAGTCATTTTAAATTTATTATAGAGAAAACAGGAAATACTCTGAGAATAAAAAAGGATGCTCAATCACATGTTTTTTGTATTAAAACTATCAGTATAAAAACTTTAATGAGTATCGTTGGGCAATATCTTTTATGCGTTCAACCCAATTTATTCATTTTATATCAAAAAGAT